GTCAAGATGATTGATTGATGATTATAGAATAAATAAGAGTGAGAGTTGACTTAAATATATTAATATTAGAGTGTCAAGTCATTAAGTTTAGAAAGTGAATCTGACTTTTAGGTCTAAATAGCAATACCTATACAATTAATAGGTGGGTTCCCTCAATCATATGTTAGGTTATAATTGGTTGGTGATACAACACTTGCATTAATGATGTGGTATCACCGTTATACTCAAGTTTTACTTGTGTTGCAGAGTATGCAGACAACTGGTATGGAGCTAAAACATTTCGCCCATGAGCATCCAGTGACACTCATTGAAGATATTGATACATACCAAGAAAAAAAAAATACCATACTGTGATTGCTGCTTAAATTCAAAATCAGGTCCTATCTTCAGGTGCACAATATGCAAGTGGTTCATTCTGCATAAATCATGTGCAGAACTACCCCAGGAGATGAACCACGGTTGGCACCCCCAACACCCTCTTACCCTTGAAATGTGGCCAGGCAGCTACCAATGTGATGCCTGCTGTAAGACAGCAGATAGTGTGTCGTACCGTTGCTCTCCTTGCCTATTCTACCTTAACGTTGATTGTGCTCAATTAGCACAGACCATTGAACATAGTTGTCACCTCCAACACCCATTAACTCTCCAGCTGAAGAAAGCCTCGTTTTGTTGTGATGCTTGTAGCTTAAGACATGAAGAAGAAGGTTTCTCCTACAAATGTGCCACTTGCCATTTCTGGGTGCACGAGAGTTGTGCATTGTTACCCAGCAGCATCACACATACTTCTCAAGACTGCCCTCTCACTTTTTCCGATTTCTTTCAATTGAAGGCTTTTGAGCTTACCAGATTTGGTATCTATTGTGATATCTGTGCCAAGAAAGTGAGTCGAAGGAATTGTGTTTATTACTGTGCAGGATGCAAATATTTTGCCTGAGTTTGTTGTTGCACCACATCAAAGACAGAGTGTGTTATGCGTCACATATTTCTTCCAAGTCTAAGTCTTTTTCTTCTTCTTCTTGATTTCGAGTATGTCTTGTTTTGTTGTTTTAGAAATGACACAAGTGATACAATAGCTGAAGCTGATTCACCCAATTTGATCCGCTTGCCCATGCCTGACAAATCTAGCACTGTTGATCTGGCAAACCATCTTATAGAGCAAATAAGCATTGGATTCAATAAGGTATGGACAGACCTAAAACAATTTAGTTCTTCTGATCAGGTAAAAAGTTATTTCAGCCCAGAATCAATTAAGAGATTGACAGAGATAAAGCAGTGATGTTCTGACCATCATTTAACTCTCTTTGATGCCCCAACTAATGAAAGCTGTGATGCATGTTGCCGATCCATTTCAACTCCCTATTATAACTGTCCGGAATGCCACTTAATTCTGCACAAAATTTGTGCTAAGTTACCCTATGCGATACAACATCCATTACACATACACCCAATAACCCTCAAGGTTAAAAGTCACTTCAAATGTAAATTTTGCAGTTACACATATCGTGACGGGTTTTCCTTCCATTGCGACCGTTGTGATCTCTATGTTGATATCAAGTGTACCTCCTACCCAAGTACCATCAGACATGAAGCTCATGAACTCCTCCTCAATTTTCAGCAAAACTTTAATTCTTCGTACAGTGCATGCTATGAAGATTGGACAAGAATGGGGAGTTGTGAAGATTGGACAAACATAGGGTGTAAAGATTATCAAGATTGGACAAGGTTAAATTTTCAAGCTTCGACATAATCCACATTCAAATGCAAAACTTGCCACTTTAATCAATCTCCACCCCGAATGTGCATTCCTGCCAAAAAAACTTAGACACAAATATGACAAACTTGACCTCATCTTGACCTATTCCCAGTCGGATTAAAGTCAGATGAGTATTACTGTGAAATTTGTGAGGAAGAACTAAACCCAAAGCTCTGGTTCTACTACTGTTCAGATTGCGACTACGCTTTTCATTGTAAATGCATTTGGAAAGGTTGTTAATAAATGATAGGCTCAGGGGCCATTATTAATGTTGACAGTCACTCACATTCTCAAAAGACAAAGCACAAATTTCCTTCTTGCGACCTATGTGGTGATCACTACTAAAAGATTGCCTTTTGAATACAGAGAATATCAGCTCAAAATTACCACATTCTCTCTGCATGCTTTAGTTTTATATTTTTCAAATATGAACTTCTTGATGTATATACGATTACAACTTATCACACCACAGAACAAGTTGAAAATTCGCTCTACACCACAAATGTGCCTTCTTGCCACAAACACTAAGACACAGATACGACCAACATGCCCTCATCTTGCCCTACTACCCATTTGGAATAGTCAAATGAGTATTACTGTGAACTTTGTGAGGAAGAGATAAACCTAAAGGTCTGGTTCTACTTCTGTGCAGAATGCGACTATATTTTTCATAGCAAACGTATTTATGAGGCTTGTTGAAGAATATACAAATTTGATATATACAAGAAGTTAAAGTTTGAAAGTTACCAAATTTAATTTTTCCATTTCACTCTTTATATTCTGGTGGTGGGTTGATTGGTAGCAATGTTTGAGCAACGTGCGTATTGATATGATGACATGATATTCCAAATTTGGTTAATGTGGAAATGTTATTCATTTTTCTTTTAGATTCATAACCAAACCAAGCCTTAAGTCTTATTAAATAAGATCGGTTAAAAATTATGATATTATTATGAAACCTAAAAAGTTACAATCATAATAATGAAAATCAAATCCAATACATAAAATTTATACAAAAATAAGGAGATTTGAATTACTGGTCTTCTACTGATGGCTAAATGAACTAGCTCGTATTGTTTATGTATCAATATTATTAGAAGTACAATTTTATTGACAATATTCCTTCACAAACAACCAATTGCGATAAACAGAAAGACTAATTCAAAATCAATCCTCATGTCACTTATTATATTTTAAAATACATACTGCCTTCGAAAATGTTTGGATGGCATGAACATAAATTCAGAATGAGAATCTCATTCCAAGTCTCTTTCCTTTCACTGTTCGGCTGTGTCCAAGAATATGAATGTGATTCAAAGTTTGGTTCTTAAGATGATGAGAGATTATCATACTAGTGGGAATTAAAAAGATGGACCCAAAATTTAAAATTATATCATATTTACATAGATAAATGCTTACCAAACAAACGCTTAAATTACATTGACATAAGAGAAATGAAATTATCGATAATAAGATCCCCATTCCTACTATTCGATTCTTCTCCTCACCGAAGCATAGAGAGTTTCTAAGAAGTCAATGTTGAAGTTGCATTTAGTACATTGGTAAACAAGTCCAGTCAAATATCTATTATCCAGCCGTCGATGTCTGTCCTCTTTCTTTATAACCAGAGCATGAGGATGGTCATGGCTTTCAATTTTAGAAGTTCCACCCAACTCGGTGAATGGGAATTGTTCAGCTTCCCCAACACAACTCATATGTGCAACAAGGTTGTCGCATTCCTCACTGCAACACACCCAAGTTTCTGGATCTCTCTCTGTCTCACAAGCATCACAGTAGTACTTGAGGGCGAGTTCACGCCTGTGCGATTCAATTTCAATGTAGGCGGTAGGAGTCGGAGAGCACATAAACCATGTAGGTTAAAGTCACATTCACCACATTTAAATTCAAAGCTTTTAATAGATCTTTTGCAGGCAATACACTTGGAAGCATCCGAATAGGGATTACAATGGCGTAGAGTAAGCAAATGATCATGACTTTTGTGTTTAATTTCCACTTGTGTATGTAAAGCACAATGAACATGGATGACAAACTTGCATTCTGTGTAATTGAAGGAGAAACCATTGCCAGGAGTGGCACAAATAGTACAATAGAAGATGCCATTATTGAAAGGTGGTGGAGGGTCCACTGATGGGTTGAGAGGGTGTTGATGGTGATGTGGGAACAAAATTAGATGAGGCAATTCCAGACAGATTTGTTAAGAGAAAATTTACAGTCTGTGGGCCTGAATCTGATATGGCTAGTCGACACTCATTGCATCTTTCAATACCGGCTTGCTCATCCAACAATGCTAATGGATGCAAGTGGCTAAAATCTTTTACTAGTTCCAGTCCTAGTGGCATCTCACTTACTTCTCTCTCTTCTTCCTCACCTATCTCCTCTTCTTTTGGCATACTATAAAGCTGGATGGCATAAATAAGTCACAAGGCGCATCCAAGATCAAGGTTGCAGCTAAACTCAAAACATTGATAGACAGCTTTGCTTTCGATTTCATGACTTTGATGCTTAAGGGTGGTTTCTCCTGATTTCATATATGGGGATGGGTTACCCTCACAAATACAACTCATATGGGCAATGAATTTGCAATCAACACAGTAGTATGCCCATCCCTTACACTTTCTCTCCTTACTACAAACATTACAGCAGGATGCCTCCAACATTTGTACAGTAAGGTTAAGGGGATGGGAATGGGGAGGGGATTCACCGTTGACTATCGTAGGTAAAAGCGCACATTCAACACAAACAATGATATTACAGCGATACTCAACACAATGATAGGCTACATAATTCACCACTGTCTTTCCACAGGCACAACAAGGAAGATCAATGACATTGGATAGATTGAGTTGGTGCTTGCGATTTTTGTCTGTAAGGGTGAGCAGTTTGTTAAATACACAATCGACATGGCAGACAGAGCGACACTAAGGACAATAGTAAGAGTAGCCATCACGAGGAGTGGAACAAATTTCACATATAAGCACATCATTGAGATAAAGTGGAGTAGGTGGTAGTGCAAGGAGGAGAGAAAGTAGATGGTAAACTGGGTGTTCAATCTCATCAGGTAGCTCTATACACAATTCATGGAACTGAACCAGTCCAGCTATTTGTTCAACTAGAGATAGATACTAGAGACAATCCATACCCTTTAATTATCTCTACTTATGATTCGACCTACATGTTGCCAATTTTTGTCTACTAGGTATTGACTTGGATGGCTGCTTAATGGCCTATCAAGACTGTAGGACCAACAGTTCCATCAATGTACTTAGACAAGCGGTTGGAGAATGACAAAGACTATGGCCTTAATCTCTTCAAGCCCAATGTCGAAGCTTGCATGAAATGGCTAGACACACAAAAAAAAAGCCTCGGTTGTTTATGTATCCTTCGGGAGCTTAGCCACTGCAGGACAAGAGCAAATGGAGGAACTAGCATGGGGCTTGAAGAACAGTAACACAAACTTCTTGTTGATAGTCAGAGCTTCAGAAGAGAGTAAGCTACCGAACAATTTCATAGCTGAGACATTAGAGAAAGGTCTTGTTGTGAATTGGTGTCCTCAACTTGAAGTTTTGTCTCACCAAGCCGTGGGGTGTTTCATGACTCACTGTGGATGGAACTCGACTCTGGAGGCATTGAGTTTAGGGGTGCCAATGGTGGAAATGCCGCAATGGACTAACCAAACGACGAATGCAAAGTATATTGTGGATGTCTGGCACACAGGGGTTCGGATTAAGGTCAATGGCAAGGGAATTCTTACTAGAGAAAAGATAGAGAGGAGTATAAAAGATGTGATGGAGGGGGAGAGAGGGAATGAGATTAGAAGGAATGCTATCAAGTGGAAACAATTTGCTAAAGAGGCAGTAGACAAAGATGGAAGCTCTGATAAGAGCATTAAGGAATTTGTTTCAAAACTTGTAGCACCTAGCAAAGATGTATGAGTTTTCACATTTCAAACTTTGGCTCAATTAGGGGAAAGAAGAGTATAACACAGGTGTGAGACTAAGAAGCTAGCTAAAATGCTCAGTGAGTCCCTTTTTAAAACACAAGTAAGGTTTAACTTGCATAGGCATTATTTCTGCTAAATTAAAAGTTGTTCTCTAGTTCTCAATGTAATTGACTTTGTACCAAATTAGGGTGCAGATCTTTGAATAATATTGTAATGATTTTTAGAGTAGCAAACTCAATTCGAAACTTTGAATTTGTCCAATAACACTAATTTAGAACTTGTTTTGAATTCATTGAGTTGGACGAGAGTACCCGTCTAAGACAAGTACTACCTCCAACACCACATCACCACCTCCTCATCGCCGCTGCTGCCACTACCGTCGTTGCTGCCTCCACCAACGCCACCGTCACTGTCACTGTCACTGTCACTGTCACTGCTACCACTCCACCCACATCACTGCCAATTCATTTGAAGTTCTTCGTAGATTAATATTCATTGTTTGTTCAATAAATATATGTATACACCCGAATCCTTGTACAAAAGTATATCCCGAAAAATAACATGTGGTTCAGTTTCAAATCTTTTATGGTGGAACTCATATCTTAAATGAATTTAGACTACATAATAAATATTATGTATTTTTCGTGTATAAATTCTATGTAAAGTAGCATTGCTCATTGTTGTTTTAGCTATTCGAGCCAGCCAAGGCTATCCGGTGGAGGTAGATAGATAAAGGGTGGGAGAGAGAGAGAGAGTGAGAGTGAGAGTGAGAGTGAGAGTTGCTCATGACCCATAAATATCAGACTTAATAAATAATTACAGTTCATACACATTAATGTAACATGGCTTGTTAGACTTCCTAACTGAGCACTGAATGATATGTTTAGATATACGCATGAATATGACTTGAGAGCAGAGTCTTTTCTTATTATTTTTTAAATTTCTTTTTAAACGTTGGATTGTCAATGATCTGTCTTCTATATGAAGCGGTTCAAGTCCAATTCATCAAAGCACAGACAAACCAAACATAATCTTTTTTTCTACAACATTAACTTCTCTCTTGGTTTTTGCTTCCTTCTCGTTTTTGGTGCTACCAACCTATAGTTGAGATGAGTTTTGTTAGGCCATGATACAATTTGCACTTAAAACCTTTTATTGATGTAGCCTTGTACGAGAGAGAGGAAGAGAGAGAAAGAGAGAGAGAGAGAGATGTCTGGAGGAGAAGAAACAAGTAGAGAGGGTGGGATGTTAAAGCTGAAAAGTTTCATCCATGAGCATCCCTTAGTGCCTACCTATAGTTGCATCTTAGCGCCCATTGCAGTTTTCACCACTTATCAACCCATCATCAAACAGAGTTAAAGGATGATCGTGGATGAATCTTTTCAGCTTTAATATCCGTCCCTCTCTTTTTCTTCTTCTCTAGACATCTCTCTCTCTTTCTCTCTCTCTCTCTCTCTTGGTTGCTCTGTATGTGCTTGAAGGATTGTGTTCTCGGGTAAATTGTATTGTAACATTTACTATAATAGAAGTCGCAACGAATCTACCTCCATATGGATGGTCAATGCTATCACCAGACAAACCTTGTATTTCATAAAAAAATAAGCATTAACAAACCCACTCCCTCAGTACAATTCTACCAATATTTTTTTGAACAGCAGAGAGAAACTATTGTCAAAGTCATAAATGGGTGAATCCATAGTTCTTACAATCACATATCTCTAGAACTCGTTTAAAATCGAGTGTGGAGCATTAGATACAAATACCATTCATTACCTTTTATGCAAAAGCAAAAAAAAAAAAAAAAAAACAAGAATAACAACAATAATAAAAAAAAAAAAAAAAAAAACAACAATAATAATAACAAAAAACAGATCTTAAAAGGGGTTTGTGAGAAGTAATGTTACCAGAGTATTTATTAGATCAGATTATTATGATAGAAGCCGAGATATTTGTCGTAACGCCCTCAAAATAATACATATAAACCCAACATTCATGACGTCCATAGATATAAGAGAATAAAGCATATTTCCATTTATCAGAATATTAAGTACAAAAAGTATTACATGTTGACAACGAAAGTAAATGTCCTACGGGCTTACAACTTTCCAAGTTAACACTTGGGTTCAACAAAAGAGAGTTCTAACTCTAAACATATTAAACTCTTGGCCTGATTTACATGTAATATAAATGATAGCAACAAAAGAGATCTTTCAGCCCCTAAGCCTCCCAAGAAACGTCCTTGGAGGTGGCATATCACCTGAACCTGAAAATGATGTCCCATAAAGGGTGAGCCAAAGCCCAGCAGAGATACGCTAAACCAAATATGAGTAATAACTAAAACGTTAGCATTTGATAAATGTTTAACTCATATAAACAAACGTACATCTCTCTCATAACCAATGCATATTCACAAATATATTTCAATCCTTTTTTCTGTTTCATTAACCAAACCAATTCATAGATATGGTTCTCTATTCATCCAGACAGTTTATAATGAGACTACAACTCATATTGACAACACTTCAATACTTCAATTTCATATGAGACTACAACTCATATTATTAACAATTCAATACTTCAATTCATCTACGTTATGCAAACGCAATTAGGATTTCGGGACTTTCACTCTGGACACTCCAGCCAACTTAGTTATCAATGGAGTCCATCCCCTATCCCCTCCCAAATGGATTTTAGAGTACATCCCATATCTCCTCTCAAACCATAGAGTACATCCCCTATCTCCTCCCAAACAAGATACATATGTAATGTATTTAAAAGCTCTATCATATACAATGATTAATCAATACACATATTCAACGTATTATTCCAACCGTCATATTCTATAACATAACGCATTTGATTAGTTTCAGTTTTCCCTAATCAATATACAGTGTCTACAACAATCAAGACTATCCTCCACCGATAGCCCAAAGCAGTTATTTCTAGATAGATAATAATTTCATCAAACAGATAAATTATCAACATTTTCATAGGTGAGTGATTAAGCAATCCAACTACACCATTCATTCTCATAATTTCCCAATTTCATGCCTTTCAACTCAATTTCATATTTTCCCAAATTAATTATTCAAACATAATTAGGGTATTTTCTCCTTTTTCAAATATCAACCCTAAGGCTCAATTTCATCAAATTAACAACAATAATTCCATTTTCCAAGGTCTCACATACACATGAAATTTAACATTTGAAAACCCCCCTTTTTGTAACTTCAAAACAGACCCTAACTTTCCCAAAGTTTATCTACTATTTATACAAAATGACTAAAATCTATGTCAAAACTCATAAGAAGGAGTAGGGTATCCCTATCTCAAGAGAAGAGACTCAAAGGAGATGTAGGTGAAAACCCAAGATGCTTCAAACACCAACTTTTTCGGATCAAAGAGGAGCCCACGTAAAGCCCTACCTTTCTTACAAAGGGACTAGGGTAGAAGACTCCTAGAACATGGAGTATTCGTAGAGAGAAGGTATGTAGAGAGAGAGGGAGCAGCCGGATCTAGGGTTTGAAGATAAAAGATAATCAAAAAGTGAGGAAGAAGCTGCTGCTGCGAACTGATATACTCGAGGCTCGCTCGAGCAAAGGAGTGGTCGCTCGAGCGACCAGACACAAAGAAACCTCGCTCGAGCGCATAAAGCCTCGCTCGAGTGAACAACACGAAGCTTCAGGTCTACAACCCAGAAGCACGCTCGAGCGAAGGAAAGCTCGCTCGAATGCAGAAACCCAAAACATACAGCTTGCTCGCTCGAGCCAAGAAACACAACCTTCAGGTCCAAACTTAGACGTAGACGTACGCTCGAGTGAAGGACCTCTAGCTCGAGCGAAGAGGTACGCCAGACCAAGCTCACTCGAGCGAAGAAAAGCTCGCTCGAGCCAAAGCTGTGTCTGAAAAGAAAACCTGAAGACCCATGATACTCACTCGAGCGTACAAACCCTCGCTCGAGCGAAGAAGCAAAAACACAAGGCTCGCTCGAGCGACAAAGTCCTGGCTCGAGCGAAGAAGCAAAAACACAAGGCTCGCTCGAGCGACAAAGTCCTGGCTCGAGCGAAGAGACCAAAAACTGGACAGCAACCTTTTGTTTCTAATCACAACCAACCTGTTACAAACCTACCCAACACATCCTAAAACTCATATACAAAGAATTAAAGGACGGAACGAGACATAAACAACAATACTCAATCATGGAACTCAAGTCTGGAATACTGCTCGTAAAGGGGAAAACCTGGGGTCGCTATAACATTTGTTGTGACAGATCCTACAGTATGTTCTTCCGAATGCAATTTCTTTCTCCACAAATCCTATAGCAGCGGCCTATGGAGTGGACTCCTCTCTCTCTCTCTCTCCTGTTGATTTCAACAACCCAATTTCATCAATACCACATACATTTAAACCCTCCAAACAATTAAAGGTCACTTTAATCAAATACCAATCAAGTGGAAAATCAAAGATCGTGGATGTTGATGAAACTGGTGGGTGTTTTGCATCTAAATTCTTGGATCGGATCGAATTCACACACAACTGCTAAGGATTTGTGAAAAAGAAATGCATTCAGAACAATAGTAGGTCAGATTTGACTACCGGGCAGCGGCCATGTATCTCCAAGCTTCTGCCTCTCTTTCCTTTTTTTTTTTTTTCTCTCTCTCTCTCTTTACACCCTATCCCAAGGTGATAATTAAGGGTGCGGCCGGTGTGGTTCGGGCGATTTGAGAGTAAAATTATAAATTGAATGGTGAATTAGTAGATTGTTGGATTGACAAATTATAATTTGAGCGGTTTTAGATAAATTAACGGATTAACCAATTATCCAGCCTTTGTATAATATATATTAATTTGCATAATATTTTCCATATATATAATACAAACTATTTTTACATAATATTTTTCATACATATAATTATTAATTTGTAATAAATTTTACATATGAAATCTTTTTCACACTCATTTTTACTTTGATATTTCATTATAGGTTAAAAAATATATATGTATTAACTACAGCGGAGCGATTTCGAAGGGGGGTTATAAATTTTAAAATTTAAACCGCGATTAACGGATTGATATGGATCCATGCAAATTGTACGATATTTTGCATAGCCTTAATGATGATAAATTAAAGGATAGATTGCACTTACCTCCCTTCAGGTTTTGA